GCGCAGACCGCGAGTCGGCGCCGCACTCCAGCCCGCGTCCCCAGCCCTCTCACCTCTTGGGAGGGGCTCAGTTTCCGCATCGGTAAAATGGGAAGAAATACTCACATAGCTACAGTGATGCGCGTGGGAGCTGGAATGAAGAATGCGAAAGGGGTCTGGAAACTAAAGTGGATTATATACTTGAGGGAATTATTATTATTATTATTAGCCGGGTACTTATTTTATGCCAGGAACCAAGCTATTACTATCTAAAGCTTCTGGCGTGGAGCCCTTTTACTGGCATTGTTTTCAGTCTTAAAACATTGTTTTAAGCCTTGAACCTGGCTTAAAATGACCAACCAGGGTTACAAAAGGGGTGGTATATTGTATTTTCTTTTTAGGCAAGGCAACCCTTGGTTGACCTCACAGATTGCAAGGACGTTGCCAGCTTACAATCCCTTATTTTTTTTTAGACCTACAGCACCTGGTCTTCCTAGGTGGTCTCCCATCCAAGTACTAACCTTACCCAACCCTGCTTAGCTTCCGAGATCGAATGGGATCAGGCTTATTCAGGGTAGCATGGCTTTAGACAAAAGTGATGGTATATTTTAAATGTGTACAGTGAACAAGTTAATGCTTTTAAGTACCAACAAATACAATGCAGTATAATTATGCTATTCACAGGATAATTTCAGGAGCTGTAACGAGTTTTAATTCAGAGCCCCTGTAAGCAATGAGAGCATGCAGTGAAACATAGGCGTCCCCTGGCCTGAAAAAAAAACGCCATTTTCTTTAAACATTCTCTGGGCTCTGCCCTGGCTGTGTAGTCATCAGGTGCTTTTTTTATGCCTACAGCATCCTATCTACCTAGGTGGTCTCCCATCCAAGTACTAACCAAATTATGTCAAAGGCCTGTGTGACTGTGAGGTCAAGATCAAGTGTCAATAGGGCCAACAACCCTGAGAGGTAGGCACCATCATCACCCCCATTTTACAGGTGAGGAGACTAAAGTTGAGAGATGTTGAAATTAAGTGCCTAAGATCACTAAGCGGGTGGCTGGTAGGTTTCCAAATCAGGGCTGTGGGAGCTCCAAGCCCAGGCTCAGGCAAGATTTTTCAAAGCCCTCACGGACACCTTTTCACACATGCAGAAAGTGCTGAGGGGACCACCCCAAGGCTTCTCTGCTTCCTCCCATTCTGCAGATGAGGAAACTGAGGCCCAGAGAGTGTAAGGAGCTGCCAGAGTCACACAGTTACAGAAAGATCTGGGCTCGCCTGCTTTCCACCAGCACCTCCATTTTATCAGCCCCAGCTGTCCTCAGGGAAGGGAGATTTCAGAAGGTGGAGTCTTGGTCTGTTTTTCTTTGAGACAGGGGCCAGGGGTCTGTGAATACACTCAGGACTTAGAGCCAGAAGGCCAGCTTGGCCCTGGGCTTCCAGTCCCAGAGCTACTATTATCTGTCACTGTGACCCTAGGTGGTCACCTTTTCTCTGAGTCCTGATCCCTGTGGGAATAAGAGAACCTCCCGCTGACCTAATAGGGCTGCCGTGGGATCAGATGAGATCACAGATGTGAAAGTGCTTTGTAAGCTATAAATTGCTGCGTACGCAGAAGGTGGTTACCAGTTTGGTGCCTCTACTTTTGACCTCATTCTACTCAATGCTTATGTTTATCTAAAAAGAAAAGAAACCAACAGCTTTTTACCAGAATGAACAATATAGGGGTGTGTGTGTGTGTCTATTTGTGTGTAAGAGATTTTTTGAGGAAGTATGACCCATGGAAAAGGACACACATGCTGCAATCAGACAACTCTGGGTTCTTTTTTTTATGCCTACAGCACCCTGTCTGCCTAGGTGGTCTCCCATCCAAGTACTGACCAAGCCCAACCCTGCTTAGCTTCCAAGATCAGACGGGATGGGGCATGTTCAGGGTGGCATGGCTGTAGACAGCTCTGGGTTCTGAGTTTGAATTCTGCTGCTCACCAGCTGTATGACCTAGATGAGGCACACAATCTCTCAATGGCTCTGTTTGCTCTTCTGTAAAATAGAGACAAAATGATAACTATATCTCAGGGTTGCTGGAGAATGGAAATAACATAATGTCACATGCTTAGCACAGCATATAGTAAGAACTTAACAACAGCAAAAATAAATACACATATTAATAAAAAGCCCCGGAGTTGGGAGCCCTTGGGACTTTGATCACACGCTTAGACACTCATGCAGCACACACACGTACACACACTCACTAACTCATATCTGGACTCCTTGGCTGAGTCTAAGCTGGACAGCTCAGGGTGACAGGGGCCAAGTGGTGGCACATGCAAGGCCTGAATCAGGTCAGCTTTGACTGCATTCATCTGCCTGCTCCAGAAACACCACCCTGCCCACTCCCCAAGCAGCGTGGGGCAGTGACCGAGCAGAGGCTCAGGTCTCGTGTGTGTGTGTCTGTGTGTGTGTGTGTGTGTGTGTGTGTGTGTGTGTGTGATTACATGACTCTGAAAGTCCCTTCCTGCTCTAACCGTCGGTGGAGCCACAAGGAGGTCCTTTCAGAGGCAGCGCATTCCAAGCTCCTCAGTCATTAACTCCTGCCTCGTGGCTACAGAAACGTTCCTGGCCCCTGACCTCACCAGTTCCCACCCAGGGAGGCCGGGTGAGAATCCCAGGGGGTCACAGCGATTGGGGGAGCCAGGGGGCCAGGAGATCTGAGAGACCCAGGCACTGTCTCTTGGCAGCCCTGTGAGCCTGGCTTATTTTCCCTCTCTGAGCCCATCTTGGGGCTGCAGTGAGGTGAAGGGAGGCTGTGGAGGAATGTGCTTTGCACCCAGGAGGTTCTGCCAGTGCCCTCAGGGCCTTGGGGGTGACTTTATGTTTTTCGGTTTCCATTCATTTTTTAAATTGAAGTTTATTTATTTTTAAAATTGAGGTGAAATTCCTATAACATACAATCAACTACTTTTAAATCGTACACTTCAGTGGACTTTCGTGTGCGTTCTCAATGTTGTGTAATCACCACTCCTTTTTTGTTTCAAATTTTTTTAAATCATCCCAGAAAAACATCCCCTACCCATTAAGTAATCACCCCCAATTTCCCCCCTCCTGCTGTCTCCTCTAGTAACCTCTAATCTGCTCTCTGTCTCTATGGCTTTGCCTATTCTGGACATTTCATACAAATGGGATCCTACAATACATGACCTTTGCTTCTGGTTTCTTTCACTTAGCGTAGTGTGTTCCAGGCTCATCCGTGTTGTAGCACGTATCAGTACTTGTAACATTTTACGGCTGCATAATATTCCATCATATGGATATACCACGGTTTGTTGATTTATTCATCAGCTGCTGAACATCGAGTTGTTTCTATTTTTTGGCTATGATGAATAATGCTCCATGGACATCTATGTACAAGTTTTTGTGTGGACATGTGTTTCCATTTATCTTGGGTCTGTACCTAAGCCTAGAACTGCCAGGTCGTATGGAAACTGTTTAACCTTGTGAGGAACTGGCAGACTGTCTTCTAAACTGGCTGCGCCATTTTACATTCCCATCAGCAATTTATGAGGGTTTCAATTTCTCCACATCTTTGCCAACATGCATTTTACATTTTTTAAATGAAAGTGGTATCTCACTGTGTTTGATTTGCATTTCCTTAAAAACCAGTCATGTTCCTTAAAGATCAATGAACATCTTTTCATGTGCTTGTTGGCCATTTGTACATATATTTTGGACAATGTCTATTCTAGTCCTTCGCTCATTTTTAATTGAGTTGTTTGCTTTTGTTGTTGCTGTTGAATTTTATGAGTTCTTTATTCTGGCTACCAAACCCTTATCGGATATATGAACATTGACCCCTATGTTTTCTTCTAATAGTTTTATAATTTTGGTTCTTATATTTAGTCTGTTGACCAAATTGAAGTTTGACATACATACGTTAAAGTGCACTCACCCAACGTATTCAGCTCAATGACTTTTTACATGTACATAAACCCACGAAGCTACTGCCCTGATCAAGATATAGGACATTTCCAGCAGCTCAGAAGCTCCTTGTGCCCCCTCCCACTCCCACCCCCCACCCATAGGTAATCACTATTCTGACTTCTACCATAGATCAGTTTTGCCTCTTCTCGAACTTCATAGAAACCATATGGAACCATACCGCGTGCACTATCTTGGGTCTGGCTTCGTCTGCTCAACCTGTGTGAGGGATTTGTCTACGTCGTTGGAGAGGTAGTAGCTTGGTCTTACCTATTGCTGAGTAGCATTCCATTGCACGAATAGTCCACAATCACTCTCTCCGTTGTCTTGATGATGATATTGGGGGCTCTGTGTGGGGCTCTTATGAATAAGGCTGCTGCGAGTGTTCTTTATAAGTGTCCTTGGGTGGCCAATTGCACTCACTTCCCTCGGATATGTGCCCGGGGTGGAACTGTGGGGTCTGAGGGTACACAGATGGCTTCGATTCTAACAGTTCTTCAAAGTGGTTGTACCATTTCACATCCCACCAGCAGTAAGCGCTCCAGATGCCCCACATCTGGAGGTGACATTTCAAGTCACTTCAACAGACATTTTTTTTTCCCCTGAATCTTTTCTCTTCTGGATGCTCTCCACAGCCTCCGGCTGAGCTCTCTCCACTCCTTAGCCCACCCAGCAGCCTGGGGGAATTAAAAAAAAAAAATCTCGACAGTGTTCACAGGAATCTTTTAAAATTTTGACCATTTCCCCCTCAGGCTTGGACCCTTCCAAGCTGTGGCATCTTTTGCATTGCTACACAGGAGGGCCCGAAGCCTGGGAAGGGGTGGGGAGCGGATGCTTGACATGTGTTGTTTTCCTTTAGGTTGCGTGTCGATTGGGGGTGCTTCGAGGACCAAGAGGGTGACATTAGTGGCTCGCATTCATTGAACTCCTATGAACACGGTTCAAAGTAATTTATTAATCCTCACCATAACCCCG